TGGAGTTTATTATCTAAACATGCTTATAGATTGGAGAACTGCATGGTAAGGTTGATTGTTTCGTAATAACTGAAGTTGGAATGATAGGCATGTGGGTTAAGTATGCATGTATGTAACATCCCAATTATTATTATTATTATTAGTATTATTTTATTTTAATTTTTTATAATTTTTATATGAATATAATGATTTATTATGTAATAATATATAGTTTTAATTCAGTTTAATTTAATTAAATTTAAATAAAAAAATAATAATAATAATAAGGGGTAAAATTATTTTAGGGATTCAACTGAAAATAATTTTGAAAAAAAAGGATGAAATTTTGGGTTCTGGAGGTATTTTTGAAAAGAAAATTAAAAATCGAGGGTTAAAACGTAATTTAAAAAAATTGTGCCACGTCAGCAGCCCGGTCATCAACCCTAGCAAACCAGGACACGCCGTGTGACAGAGACGCTGACGCGGGAGGCCACGTGGAAGGAAGCCATGTGGGCGATCCGCGTGCGCGCGATCGAACGGATGAGATCCGTTCCTGCGCGCACGGACAACCCATATCAAAAGCACGTACGGACGGTCCAGATTAAATCGCGCACGGACGGCCCAGATTGAATTGCGTACAGACGGCCCAGATTGCATCACGATGAGCGGTCCAGATTTATTTTCTTTTTAATCGTGATTGGATGGTCCAGATTAAATCACAATGGATGGCTCAGATTAAAAGCGGAAGGTTATAAATAATCTCATCCGCAACCAAACCCTAACCCTAGCCGCCAGAGCCCTCGCCGGAGAAGATAGCCCAGCCTCCGGGGAGCCGACCGCTGCCACCCGCCGCCGCACTGGAGAACTTTTCGGCCACTAAACGAGGTAAAAATTCTCCCATTGGCTCAGAATTCGATTCTAAACCCACCTGTGGCCAAATTGGAGCCAAAACACTGGCCAATTGGTCGAAAAACACCGCCGAAGTCCAGCGGCGCCTTCGCAGATTTTTTCGATTTTTGCCTCCGATGAGGCCCTTTCTTATTCTTGTTTGATGTAATTTTTACACCGTTGTGACCACCGTTCCTTCCTCTACAGGTTGACCGGAGCAAAATACCAAATCGCGACTCGAGCTGGAGGAGCCGCCGCACCGGAGAGCCCCACCATGGGTAAGTTTCAATTTTCAATATTTTTTTGGCCCACCAAGGGCCCTAGGGGTGTTTTCTCACAGGAACCAATGCAAGTTTACCCGAATTTGGCCGAAAACGGCCGGAAATGGCCAACCCGAGGTGGATCACCGTTGTGTCACCAGAGCACGGCGGAGCCGCCGTGCCAGAATTTTGAAACTTGTTGAATAGGCCTCGGGTCTGATTTTTGAGTTATTTGGGATATGTATAGGTACCGTAAGCACGTTTCAGTTCCCGAGAGAAAATTCAGGGAACCTAGGGACTACCTGTAGGCGCAGTGAAAAAATCCAGTTTTCGACTTCGAATTAGGTAAGGATCCCTCACCCTATTTCCTATCATGGAATTAAAGTTTGAATAAATGGTAATGTTGTATTTTGTGTAAATTAATAGATATGCATAATTAATTAAGGTTGCTAATGGAGCCCGAACCGAACATTATTTCTATGTCAGTTCCTGTTTGATTTATTTTACAGTCTAAATGCAGTATGGTATGTGATTTATTTATTCTATGGTTTTGAATGTATGAATCACTGTTTACTTCATTATGGCTTGATTTTGTAAATCCGATGATATGCTTGCTTTGTTGGATGTTCGTTACTTGTTTAAGTATTCATGTTTATATGAGAAACGAAAAACTAAGAAAAAAGTAGAAAAGGTATGTGAATTGATAAATGGATAAGTTGACAGTCTCACTAGATATCTTGGGAGATGGTTGACGGATCGGGTCCATAGGGAACCCTACCGGGAACGTTGTCTCATACCGGACGGGGTATGAAGACTTTAAATGTTTTGGCACTCATACCGGACGGGGTATGGGGACGGCCCGCTTCACCCTCATACCGGACGGGGTATTGAGGTTTATTGTTTGGCACCCATACCGGATGGGGTATGAGGACGGCCCTGAATATTAAGTTTGTCAAGGAAATGGTTCACGGGTAGTGGGGACCCCTATGGATCCCCACGGATACTAGTAGGTTGATAAAAAGGGGACAACTGTTGTTTGATGATTGAAATATAAAAGTATAACATGTACTATGCTACAGATTATGTATGAACTTATGATATCTATGATGTTATTGTTTCAATGGGTCATTTTTATAAATTCCACTAAGGTAAGTGTACGGTAAATAGTTTGATTATTGATAAATAAATTTACTTAAAACTTGTGCTCTATTGGTTATTTTTTTAGTTTTCTATCAACTTTTACTTCTGTGACAGTGATATAGTGTGATGTCTTTACTGGGCTAGTGTAGCTCATTCCTTACTTAACCATTTTAGATCAAGAGGACTTGGTTTCCGAACCCGATCTACAAGAAAACGGCGAGTAGTTACCTAGATGTTTATTAGTTTCTTTTATAGTCTTTCATTTCCAGTATTTTCCTTTAAATGACTTATTTTCGGCATTATTAGTACGTTTAAGTTATTGTGTAAGGAATATTAACCAGAACTTTTTATTTCGCTTCCGCACTTATATTCTTTATATACATTTCTTTTTTAAATTTTTGGGGTCGTTACAGTGTATGTGGGGCATATGAATTATAGACGATGTGTAGTGACAGTAGCGTTGGTTAGGAGGGGGGGAGTGACGCTGATACTGGTTGTCGTCATTTAGAAATGGTAAGTCGATTGCCGATAGTGTGATGACTGCGAGTTGTCAGATTTGGTGTCGGGGTGGAGTCGCCGATATTGGTGACAAAAGAAAACAGTAATGTTGTGTGTGTGGGTGGCTAGTTAGGGGTAGAGCGATAGAAAATTAAAGAGTGGTCGCCGATACAGGTGACTGATTGGGGTTACAATGTGGGTGAGTGGTCAGGGCCGGGCCGATGGGATGGTATCAGGGAGTGACCACACCTAGACGTGGTAGTACAATAGAGGTAGATGAGTAGTATTGGGGTCAGGGGTAGGAAAGGAGCATGACCAAGGTAACGGGAAAGGAAATATAGGAGAATAGGTTTATGATTGGGTTTCCATACTATATTTAAAATTTAAATCCACTGTACTGAGTTAGATGTACTTATTCTCTATTACCTGCAGATGAAGTAAGACTAGAGACTGGATCAGAGTTGCAGGTTTCCGAACTTAGCATATAGAGAAGATGGAGCAGGGTTTACTACTGATAGGACAGAATAGTTATGTGGTTGGTAGAGGTGTAAACCATATGTAGAAATACGGGTTTATATAATTCGTAAGCTACTACGTTGATGTGTTCGCGGTTGAGAATTTCTATAAGAACTGAGTAATTGGTTGCAATACTTTCTTGTAAGTATGTAATTGATTTAAAATGGAATACGAGTGTTCTGTATGCTAATTTATTTGAGACAATGCCGCCGAAAAAAAGGAAAAAAAAAAAAAAAGAGCGTTACATCATGTTATCTGTATGTTGATGAGTGTTGCTAGACACCAACCTTAATTAGTAAATTGATTTGATCAATTTGCTATCAGTTTAGTATTGAATCTATGAGGTCGCATACTAATGAGTATTATAACTTTTACTAAATAGATTAATTATTTTAATTATTTAAGAATTAAATTAGATAATTTAATTTAATCAAATAAATAAAAATTTTGGCATAAATAAAATATTATTATATTCTTTACTAACACCAATAATATAATTAATATTGAAAAATTTTTGAATTTTTTAAATTTTTGTTATTATATTATTAGTGTAATAATATAATATATGTAGCTATTATAATAACTAAGATTAATATAAAATTTAATTTGAAATTGAAATGATGTATAAAATTATTTTATTAAATAATAATAATTAAAAAATAGAAACATATATATATATATATATGTATATGATTCAGCGTTAAAAAAAAGTAAATGAATCCATTTTGATTTGGACGTCTAGAAGAATCCAAAAAGAATATGACCATTCATGCCACCTATATATATATATATATATATATATATGTATGTATATGATTCATTGTTAAAAAAATGTAAATGAATCCATTTTGATTTGGACGTCTAGAAGAATCCAAAAAGATTATGACCATTCATGCCACCTATATATATATATAGGTGAGTGGGGATTGAAAAAGGTTGAGAGAAAAACTGAAAAAAAATTAGCCAAAAAAAATTGGGGAATTTTTTCTATTAAAATTTTGTGAAATTTTTTTAACATTTATATTATTCAATTTATTGTTGCGTTCTATTTATCAAAAAATTATATAGCAAAAATTAATTTTAGTATGAATATGCATAAAATATTTTTGTTTTTAAATAATTTTAATTTAAGAACCTGCTGTTAAATATATTTTAATTTTTAATTTATAATATAATTTTTAAATATAAATAGATTAAATTTTATTATTTTATATATTTCACTACATGTTATGAGTATATTATAATTCTTCAAATAAAATATTATATATTTCCATAAATAAAATAAAATATTGTTGCTTTCTTATTTTTACAAAATAATACTTAATGAATCATATAATTATACATGTTTTAATTAATTTATTTTTAAGAAAATTAATTAAAAATATTAACGATCAATTATTTATATGTATTACTTTGATTAAAATTGTTGAAATTAATATTAACCAATGAATTCCTCAACAAAATTTATTTACCGTTACACTTGTTAATGATTTTATCGTGAAGCAATATCACTCACCATAATGAATTGTTATAAAATCTAGAGTAAAATGAACAAGGAATCCCTCACTTCTTTGATTATTAACACTCTCTCCCACGGTTGGTTGCTTTCGCAACAAAAATACTTCAATAAGGAAAAAAAAATGTTATATGATGTGTAAAAACAAAAAAAAGATGGACAAGCAAAGATTGTTTGCCATCATTGATATTAAAGACGTAATAACTTATATATATTTATATATATATATACATCATGAAATTTATAAACAAAATGGTATTAAGCATTATTGTTACAAAGATGTAGAAATTAACGAATATCTATATCCAACTAAAGTAAATACAAGTTGAATATTACGTATATTTAATCAACGGTTGAAATTATTTCTTTGTGAAACAATCCTCCCATAATTTATATTTATAAAATAAACTATCTAACATATAGAGGTTTTGGTACATCGTAAAGCGCCAGCTGATTCTGTAGAAACTCTAACAGATTTAACGTCAGATACCTGAAAGGTTTGTTGAGCATCGTAGTTGGGCCTTACACCACCTAATCCTGATTGAGTAAAAGAAGCTCCATTCTTGAAGTAATCTCGCACTGAATAAAGATTCCATCCACCTTTGTCCTTTTTGTTGTGCTTCCTCCATGTCACTTCTTTATTTCCTTGTGGTACTGCAATAAAGAAGTTTGCTTCACTTTTAACTGTGGGATTCATGCTTCCACCAATAGCATATTGTGTCCATCCTAGGTAGAGGTTATTCGCAACATGTGCATATCCATGACGGACCCTGTAAAAAAATATATATTATTTTTATTTTAATTCATATATCATTGATTCGGCTATTTATTTTCAGCTTAAATTTATTGGATGATCAATTCAACCTATTATTTAAGATGGTACTCGAGTCAAGGTTCTTGAATTTGTATTTAATCTATGCTTTTAATTTATAAATTTATGCATTAGGAGGTATATTAAAGTATAAATAATTAATTAAATTATTTCTTATCAGTTTAAGTTTTAAAGATAATTGATTTAATATATTATTTAATAATCATAATTATTTTTATTATCTTTTAAAAAATATATATATAAATTTATACTTGGGCATGCGTTGGTTGCAATTGGGTCCAAAATGATTAAAGGCAACAGTGACCTTCATATTTTTATCTCTCAAGTATCCATCATCATGACCAAGAAGCATAACTTTATCCTGGTTTCTAAACCAATTATTTGAGATAGTAACATCTTTCGTTCCACGAGTGACATCAAGGAGGCCATCGTGACATTCATACAAAGTGTTATGGTCTATCCAAACCTTTTTCGCCGTGACCAACCTGATTGCATCCCCATCCACTTGACCCATTTGGATTATTTGTGAATCTGGTCCCACCACCGAAGCTACTGGTCTAGGACGACAATGATGAATTCTTATCCCATGGATGATGACATCTGTCGCCTGAAAATTTTAATGTAAGATACATGTATGTATAAATACAAATTTATTATGATAGCGACTTATAATAATTATATACACATATACAAACAAATATGTACCTTGTAGATAATAAGGCAAGCAGGGCCTATAACGTGAACACTAGCACCACGACCATCAATGACAGTGAAACTGCTAATGAGAATGGGTTTTTGTAGATAAATCCTCATATCACTTTGAAATGTAATCCATACTTTGCCTTTGATGATGGTGGCTCCATATCTAAGAGTTCCTGGCTTAGGGTTTAATGGGTCATCAGAAGAATCTATTACCTCATAATACACCAAATCATGGCCCGTGTTGTTGATCATCTTCCCTGCAAATCCTACTGAACACAAGGCGAGTTGTTGCCTGTCATTTCGCCAATGAGGATTCCATCTCCAACATTTGTCAATGACATTCATTTCCGTGATAGTTTGGTGAGCAAGACTAGTATTCTTATTAAGTAGAATCGTGAAAGTTAAAATATAAATAACCAAAGATAGATGATATAATTCTGTCATTTTTAAGATTATGATTCTTTGATTTTTGAAATAAGAGGTCAGGATAGAGGTAATTGAAGTGAAGAAAGAAATATGAGAGGTAGTCTTATATATAGTATATACATAGTAACAGAATGAAAGCAATTAAATAGCAAGTTTTATATTTGCATTATGTTGGACAAGGTATAGAGCTAGGAATAGAAAAGAGGAAGTGATGTTGTTATGATGTTGTTACATATACTTGGCTGTATTTGCTCCACAAAATAACAATTACTTAATTTCCTTATATATATATAATTCAGTTTTTATACGAACTCTATTCTAAGAAAATTAATAATATATTTCATCATGAAAGAAAACCAAATCAACACATAAAGGATTTTTCGACTATATGTAAGATTTATCACGTTGAGTTGAAATCTTGAAACTCTGCTAGTATTTGTTGAAAGATAGTAGATAACTCAAAAAATTATTAGGAGAATGATATAACATATATGTTATTTTATAATTTTAATTTATTTTTATTTTTATAATTAGGTAATGTTGATTATATAAAAATATTTTTTTATTTTAATTTTAAAGATTATATAGTACAATTGAAAATTATATTTTTATGTTTTTCAAATTTTTAATTTAAAAATTAAACAATGTAATTGAAAGTTTTAGTTACATCAATTTTCATTAATATATGTGCTAAATTTTCATTACATATTATGTGGATATAATATATATATATATAACTTATGCTAGTGGAGAATTAATATATATTACAAAAATCAAAACTACTGGCCTTATAGCTTTAAATCACAATATATCTTAAATAAATTTTACTGTAATTACTTTATTAGATAGGTAAGTCGGTCTGATTATATAAGTTAAAGGAAAAAACAACAGTCCTAAACAAAATAATAAACACAAACCTTGGGTCCACCCGGGAGGCGTGATGAACAACTAAGCAAGCCTATCACTATTTGACACGTGTCGAAACCGTGTACGTTTTGAGAAAATCAAGGGTCCCGATCCGATATCCTGAATTTGAAACCGTAAACTCGTAAATAATATCATGCAGCTCGTTCACATTAGTACGTACCATTCATTGAAGATTTGTGAACACGTAATGCATCTAATCACAAATTGCCACGTGTACACGTAAAACATTTTTGTAAATGAATTTGGTCTAATACATATATAAGGAATATATTCCTACGAAAATTTATGACATTAAGAACGTTTTTTTTTTTTTAAAGAAAATATTTTAAAAACTAATTAAATATGTAATATCTGTGTGTATGTAACTGTAAAATAACTTTAAAAAGTAATATATTATAATTTTTAAAAAGTAATATATTAAATAATTGTATTTAAAAAGATTAAAAGAGTTTTAGATTATATTGTAAAAAAAGAGTAAAAATTTAAATTCATTAAATAATAAACACGTTGTAATTATACTAAAAATTTTAAAGGATAAATAAAGTAAATAATTTTAAATTTATATGTCAATTCAATAAGTAAATTAAAGGAATGCATGATATTTTCCGAGTATTTTCTCAAATTATAGTATAGTAATTTAGCAATTATTATTTTATTGCGTACTAAGAAATCTTAATAATTTTAAATTAATGAAAGAACATTCTTGATAACATTTTCATAATATTCACTGTCATTATTATGAAATTAATATTTTATACAAATATTATCACAAAAAAAGAGAAACAAAAATTGCTATTTTAAAATGCAAATATTTTTAAAATATTTTCAAGCTATTTTGTGAAATTATCTATAGCAATTTAGTAATATTATTTTATCTAAAAAACCTTAATATTTCAAATTTATGAAATAATATTCTAGAATAAATTCAATGAATATAACACCTCCATAATTTTCACTGCCATTATTGCTAAATTAATATTTTATATAAATATTATAACAAAAAATGAGAAATACATAATTATTATTTTAAATTCTATGGAAGATAGTTTACAACTTAAATTCAATTTTTAGTTATTTTCGTGATTCGGAAATTACTGTGATGTGCGTAATTAAAGTTCGATTAACTTAGGATTTCTAATTTCAAAAGAACATTGACCATCTTCCTTATTAATTTGGAAAAATACTAACACTACCACGTGGCAAAACCCTATTGGCTAGGTGACAGATATGAACTTTCCCATAAACATACTACGTCCGTTTCCAGTCGGTGGAGAATTTGAAAAACTTATTAGCGAAGCAAATTCAAAACACGCTTTATATAGATCTTCTTCGGCTGGAACCTGTTCTCCTTCCGTTTTATATATATATATATATATATATGACACAGTGCTCAAAACTCTTTCCCTGTATAACTCGCATATATAAATATCACTTTTCGTATTCTTCTCGGGTTCCAACAATGGCGATTGATGACATAAACTATGACACCACAGACCTGTCTGACCTTTTCCCCGACCACCTATACTCAAACCTGGATTACATAGACCCGAAACCCGATCCTTTACCTGCTGGTTTCACTTACAGCGCAGAGAGTCAACTTTGTGTGCCACAAGACACATTAGAAGATTTAGAATGGTTTCCAAGTTTCACCGACGACTTCATCAACTTGAGCGGTATATCCTTGGAGAACGAAACCCTTTCTATCAAGGGCTCCAGTTACCAAAACGACGTCGTTCAAGAACCCCTAAAACTGGAAAACTCCAAAGTATCCGGTGACCAAAACGAAGCCAGTCGAGGACCCGGAAATTTTGAGTATTCCAAGAGTTTCAGTGACCAAAACGATGCCAGTCAAGAACCCGCAAAACTGGAAAACTCCATAGACCGACCCGTTACACCCGAACTGAAAACGGAGGATACCTTCGGCCGAGCGAACAAGAGAAGACGTGAAGCAGAGATTGAAGAAAGTGAGAAATTGGCTTTTGGGTTTTGTAGTTCCGGTCAGAAGAAACAGAGGAGCAAGCGTGATTCGTGCGGTAAGCATGAGAGGTTGTTGGGTTGGGCGGTAGAGAAGGCAATGACAAGTGGGACCATGTCGTTTGGGGTGACGAGTGGGGCCACATCGTTTGGAGTGACGGAGAGGAGGAAAAGATGCAGCCATTGCCTGAGTGATAAAACGCCGCAATGGAGAATAGGTCCGATGGGACCAAAAACACTGTGTAACGCTTGCGGGGTGAGGTACAAGTCGGGGAGGTTGATACCAGAATATCGGCCTGCCGCGAGCCCAACTTTTAATATTCTTAAGCATTCAAATTTTCATAAGAAGATACTCAAGAGGAGAGAATTCAATGGATGTTAATTTTTTTTTTCTTAAAAAAAGGATAAAAAAAAAGATTGACTGTTTTACTTGAGTTAGTTTACTTGAAAATTAACAAGTAGAATAGTTGTAACTCATTTAATTTGTTATTGTAAATATTTCTTTTTGTTAGAATTGATTCATGTAAATATTTAGCATATTATAAATTCTTTAAGTTTTTATATATTTTTTTATATATAGTTCGATTTGATTTAGTATTAGATACATAATTAGTTTGACTTAGTAATAAAAATTTAGTTTGAATTAATTTAATTTAATTAAAGTTAAATAAAAAGAAATACTTAAATAATATGGTAAAGTATATAAATATAATACTCGAAATTAATTTTAAAATTTTAAAATTAATGTATCAAATATAATTTTTAATTTTATAAATTTTATTTAATATAAAATTACAAAAAAATAGGTGGAACACGAAATTAAAAATAATTTTGAAAAAAATGGGTGAAAATTTGGGTTCAGGTGATATTTTTAAAAGAAAAATCAGAAACTAAATATCAAAACACAATTTAAAAAAAATGTGTCACGTAGGACCGCACAGTCAACAGCCTCGACGAACCGGAGTGCGCAACGCGATAAGGCATGCTGACTCAGTGCCGCCGCGGGAGGCCACATTGGCAATTTGCGTGCCCGCAATCAGACAGTCCGGATTTATTCCTGCAAGCGTGGACGGTCTGGATCTGTTCCCTCTTTAAACACGATCGTACGGTTCAGATCAAATCGTAATGAACAGTTCAGATTCATTTTCTCTTTAAATGCGATCAGATAGTCAAGATCAAACACGATGAACGATCCAGATTAAAGAGAGACGAATATAAATATCTTACTTCACATCGAACCCTAACCCTAGCTGTTAGCCCCTTTTCGGAGAAGAAGAATCAGTCACTGGAGAAGGAAACCGATCGCTGCCCGCTGCCTTGTCGGAGCCACCTCCGACCGCCAAAAAAGGTAAAAAAAATTTCAATAGCTTGAAATTTAATTTTGAACACCCTCATGGCCAAATCAGAGCAAAGAACTGACGGATGAGTCAAAAATCGCTGGTAAAGCCCGGCGACGCCGCCGTGAGAAAAAAACTAAAAATCGTCTATGATGAGACCCTTCTCGATTCCTGTTTTGTGCGATTTTTACACCATTGTATTCACCATTCTGTTTCTCAAAGGTTGACTGAAGAGAAACGCCCAACCACGAAGATGAGCCGGTGGAGCTGCCGCATCGAAAACTTCCGACGTCGGTAAGCTTCTGTTTTTGACTTTTTTCGGCTAACCGATGCCCCTTAACATGTTTTCTCACATGATTGAGTATAAAATTGGCTGAAATCAGCCAAAACTGGCTGAAAATGGCCAGTTCGAGGCAAACCACTGCCGCGGGCAACGGTGCCGCCATGCTGAAATTCTGAAATTGGGCGAAAAAGTTTTTTAACGTTGATTTTAGATTTTTTGAGGTATTTCTATGTACTTGAAGTATGTTTTAATCTTCGAAGAAAAATTTAAGAAATCTGGGGATCGCCAGTAAGTACAGCTGAGAGTTTAGCATTTCGGATACCGATTCGGTTAA